CCGGCGTCCCCACCAGTGTCACCACGTGCAGCTGGCCCAGGTCCACCTCGAGGAACTCGGCCTCGTCCGGGTACACGGGGCCCGCAGGGCACCAGGCACCGTCCCCGTCGCTGCGGCCCAGCCTGGGGACACCAAGGGGACATTGAGGGGATGGGGGGGACACAGGGACACCAGGGGACACGGGGACACCCAGGGGACACGGGGACACCTAGGGAAATGGGACGAGCTGGGACAAGGGGACACCTAGGGACATGGGGACATCCAGGGGACACAGGGACACGGGGCCACCATTGGGGACATGGGTGGCCAGGGCCATGGGATGGGGACACTGGGCAGAGGGAGAGGACACCAGGAGGCGCTGGGAGGGCACAGGGACCATACTGGTCCATACTGGGCTCACCGGCCATGGTGGGCTGCGGGATGAGGACACCAGGAGGAGGGAGGGGAAATGGGGACGGGACACGGGGTGGGATGGGATGGGGACCCAGGACCACACTGGACTGTACTAGTCCACGCTGGGCCATACGGGGCCATACTGGTCCATACTGGGCCGTACCGGCCATGGCGGGCGGCGGTCGACTCGGACCAGGCGCTGGAGGCCGTCAGGCGGCTGTCGGGGATGGCGCCGTCCTGCATGCCCAGGGCGTAGCGACACCTGCCTGGGGACACGGGGGACACGGGGGGACATCAGGGACGGGGGCTCCCAAAACCTGAAAGAAAGAATATTCAAATTATTCTTCAGGATATTAAAACATTCAGTTAAAGTAAATGACTACTGGTAAGAGAAAAGCAGAACTCTGAAGGAAGACCTAGGAAGAGATGCAAGAATGAGATACCTTGGATCACAGCAGCATATATACAGGTAGAGACTTTTAAAGAAGAGTGAATTACTATCTGAAAAAGATTTCTAGTCTTAGAAATTAAAGGGTTCAGAAACTCAGCCCCATGTGGCCCCTATATACCCCCTACAGCCCAACCACCCCTCATGGCCCCTATAGGGCACCCTCAAGCTCATATAACTGCTATACATCCCCCAGGGCTCCCCCCCCCCACAGCCCTATATGGCCCCCATTAGGGGTCTCACCCAGGTCGAGGAGCCCGTCCAGCTCCAGCTCGGACACCTGGGCCCCCGCGGTGGTGATGAGGAGGAGGAGGAGGGGGGCGAGGCCGAGGGGCCCCATGGTGGCCCCAAGGCGACCCCGACACGCCAGCATCCCGCCTGGGGACAGATATGTCAGTTTCGAGCCCCCCTTCCCCTGAAACGTCAGTTTTGAGCCCCCCCCGGCCCCAAAACATCCAGTTTCGAGCCCTGCCTTGGCCCAAAAGGTCAGTTTTGAGCCCCTAAATGTCTGTTTCGAGCCCCTCCTCATAAATCCCCGTTATATAAGCACGTTCCCGCATACTTCAAAACACATAGAAACACATAACTACTAATCACATATAACATACAATATATTATAAGCACATATATAACTGTAGAGCCATAGAATCACTTAAAGAGACAAATATACATATACACCTATACTGTATTTATATGGTCACTACATAAGTTTTTTTTCTATATGCGCGCACTTCATAGATACACATAGATGTGTACATAGACCTGCGGATACAGAAGCTTCTGTATGTGTTACTATAGGCATGTATATCTATACCTAAGTTTTTGTACCTTATAAAAAAACTATATAGTCCTAAGTATACACCCAAAATGGCTATAAACCCCTATAGGAGTTTATATAAAGTACTATAGGGGTGTGCGTAGAGAAGCTATGGGCAGACAAGTGCTACCGGTACCTACATATAGGGGTAGAGGGTTTGCACCTGCAGGCACCCCTGAACCCACGCTGCGCTATAGGGGTGCGTAGCGGGAGCCTATGGGGTGTTAATGGCTTATATAAGGGTATGCGGATACATATACACCACACTGTACGTGCAAACATAAAACTTTGCTTATTATACAGTTACCTGCAGGGCTACCCAGGGCCATAGGGGTGTTTACGGCATTGTATAGGCTTCCCTGTGTCTATACACACATGCCAAGCGCACACACGAACGTACAGGGTCCACAGGGCCCAGCTCTATAGCTACCCACAACATGAAGAGCCATAGGGATCGGGGCAGAGAGCACTTAAAGGCTCTTAACGAATTATATAGGGGCCTGCACGCCTCCCTGGGGCACTGCGTGCGGGTGGGTATAGAGATAGGCTATAGGGTTTCATCCTATAGGTACCTGTAAAATGCTCTGGGGCCGGTATAGGGGGTGCTTAGAGCTGCGCTGCCTTATCTGGGCTCTATAGGCATCTCTGTAGGGCGCTCTATGGGGGGCAGAGGGAGCTATAGGGTGGCAGGGGAGTCTAGAGGGGGCTATAGGGGACTGGGGGCAGGCAGTGAGGACACACAGGGCAGCCCAGGCGCTCTATAGGTGCCTCCATACGGGCTGGGTGGGGGGTGCCTAAAGGGCTGCCAGGGGCTGGGGGGGCCCTCAGGGGCCCCCCTGGG